ACAAACTCGGCGTCAATACAAATAATCTGATAAGTTTAGACTCGAAAGAATCCAATATTTTTAATCTCATAATACACATGAGAGTATAAAATTGGCGATGGCGTGCTCTTTTGCAACTGATTCAACGGCATAACAGAAATGGTCGAAGCTCCTAAACGTTTCAAGATTTCTGTGTCTAACAGTGTGTTAGACGACTTGAAGGAAAGATTGAAAACGGCGAGATATCCTGATGAATTGGAGGATGCTGATTGGGAATATGGAACACGTTAGTAAACCTGAACACTTGTTTTTGAACAATCTCTCATACTTACAAATGCTCGTGATAGTCTGTGTTCATTATCGACTATCCATATTAATTTACAGTCTATATATTTTTCACTCTAGCACTGCATAGTATAGTCTCTTTGTTTTTATATTCCCCTCGCATATTCTCGCGTCATATTTCTAAACAACTCTCTCTGTATTCCAAATAGCCGTTACCAGTCTAAAAGAATTCGTTGCATTCTGGCAACAACGTTATGACTGGAATGAAGTAGAAAACAAGCTGAACGAGTTACCGCAGTTCACGCTAACTGCCAATGGCTTAAATCACCACTTTATTCACAAACGATCACTCCGCGCCAATGCTATGCCCTTGATCCTTATTCACGGCTGGCCGGGATCGTTTTACGAGTTCGCAAAGGTCGCGAATCAGTTGACTGAACCAGAAGGAGATCAACAGCCATTCCATGTGGTTGTGCCATCCCTACCCGGATACGGTTTCTCTGAAAAACCAAAGAAGAGAGGCTACGGCATTGCTGAAATTGCCAAAGGATTAAACGAATTAATGGTTAAACTGGGCTATAAGAAATATTGTAAGACTGACAAATATGCTTGAACATTTTAGTTAGTTTCTTTTCTCACTCATACTCTGTTTGATCGGATTAGCTGCGCATGGTGGAGATTGGGGAGCCCTTATTGCTCATACATTAGCTTCTTGTTATCCGTCTGAATGTGTCGCCGTTCATATTACATTAGTCTTATTCCCCCCACCGCCATTGTGGAATTTCCCTCTTGCACATCTGAAGTTTCTCGCGAGTTCGATATTCGGTGCGGAAAGGACTTATGGACACGAAGGGGCAAAACGACTAGAGAGACTTCAGGCAATCATGAAAACGGAAATGGGATATTTCCACATCCAAACAACTAAGCCTCAGAGTTTGGCATACGGACTGAATGACTCGCCGATTGGATTATTGGGTATGGAACTTGGGGGAATAATGCGAGCATCGGATGTAGAGAATGCAAAAGCATAATTGTTTGTTCTGGGTTATTATTACAGCTTGGATATTGGAGAAATATCACGGATGGACAGATAGGAGAACATTTGACTTATCAAGCGATGAGGCAAAAGAAATAATAGTGACTACAACAATGCTCTACTGGGTAACAGAGACTATTCCGTCCAGTATGAGAATCTATAGAGAATATCGTGATAAAAATATTATGACTGGGTCATTATCTGACGGTGTAATGACGTTATCATCGAAAGTTCCAACAGGCGTCGCATTCTTCCCTTGTGACTTTCCTCCTGTATGCGACAAGTCTAATGCATTTTGATTTGCGCAAGAAGAGAAATGTAGTTGCCATTTACTGATATCATTATTACTTTATGGGTTTCTTTAATTCTGAATAGTGTCCAAAGGAATGGGCAGAATGCTATACGAACATCCAACGATGGAAGGAATACGACAAGGTAAAGCGTGTGGCCGCTTTCTTTATATCGTCTAAACCATGGCCAACTCAATACATCTTTGTAGGGTGGTCACTTTCCTGGCTTGGAATGTCCCGACGTTTTGACTAGTGACTTGCGCGAATATTTCGATCTGCCGGTTGTTAAAAAGGCCTTCAGTGAATAAGCCTTTTGTGCGGAGGGGACTTCTGCAAAGTGTTGTAAATAGGAATCCATTGTCTGTGAGAACGTTGTATATTCAAACATCAATATATGTCTCGTTCGTAAAACTTTTACGCATTACAAAATACGTGATCTGCTCATGAAATTGTAATGACCAAAGCTATTAATATAGTTTTCAATAATGTCAAGCATCCTCCATAAATGCACGCCATGCCTCATCCCCGAGGTTGAGAATTAATTGATACTCTTCATTCTGAATTGCATGGTTTTGGTTTTCTCTCCGCAAAAGTTCGTTTTTGGTATAGCTGGTTGATACATTCGCAGTAAAGCCGCGTTTTAGTTTATTACCGAATACTTGACAACCCATCCTAATTCCAGTCTCAAATGGGCAGCAACGATGATAATACTTTTACAGAGCTCAACACATTCAATTACACTGTTTGGTCAGTGTTCGTTCACACTAATTGATATGGCTTATAATATTTATATAATAATTACTTCCCACTATCACCTGCTTTACAAATTATTAGACAAATGGGTTAAATTTC